AGCATCCTTGCATAACAAAAATCTATTCAAGGATGTTTTAGTTGTAACGGCTCTTTCAATATTACGTAGATTACTGTTAGATGAGTCTTATAGTTTTGCGAAAGATGTATTATTTACTTTTGCTATAAAATAGAAGTACTGTCTACGCAAAATCTTTCCCAATCAGCCCTCAAAACAAGCATTGCTCAATTTTTCAATGACTATATAATTTAAACGACTTTTCAATGACTATATAATTTAAAGCAGGGAAGGAACGATCTTAAGCGATAGAGAAGAGGTGCTGAACAGATGGAATGAACACTTTGACCATCTGTTGAATGGTGATGAGGAAGAAGACGAGATAGCAATAGACAATTTACAGATGCATAACCAAGAAATGGTTACACCTCCAACGTTGGAAGAGGTCATCATGGGAATTGACAAATTAAAAAACAATAAAGCTCCTGGCCCTGACACCATACCATCTGAATTAATAAAAGGTGGGGGAATGGAGGTTGCGAAGAAAATATATGATCTATTACTAATTATATGGGAACGGGAAGTAATCCCAGAGGATTGGAAAATTAGTTTGACTTGTGTAATTCATAAAAAGGGAGATGTTCTTGAATGCTCAAACTATCGAGGAATTAACTTACTTTGCACGAGCTATAAGGTATTCTCAAATATTTTATTCAATAGACTTACTATGTTTTCAGAGGGAATAATAGGAGAGTATCAAAGTGGTTTTAGAAGGGGAAGATCAACTACTGAGCAAATTTTTACCATTCGGCAGATATTGGAGAAANTTAAATTTCGACCATCAGGTAAGAAGGCTTGTATGAAAAGTAAAAAAAATTGATAAGCACAATTAATTTATTCATATAATATTTTGAATGTTCTCTCCTTTTACACCAAGCATGGCAACCTAGAGGATAGAGCACTCGCCTCCCAATAACTCAGATACCAGCGATAACTGGGTGACACGAATTCTGCTCCCGGGTCAAACCGGCCACAATGCTAAAGTAGTAAAATATCCTCAGGGGTAGACAAATCATTGGTTAGAATTCCTTTGACATCGAACTAACTTTAGGAGGTCTTCGTGATTTTCCTCTCCATGTTACAGAAATGCGGGTAAGTTCCACATATTCTTCTTCCAGAAAACTAGTTCATCCCAAAACTTGATCCAGGTGCTCTGGTTTATGTCTGCCTTCTGGGTTGAAATCAAAATTACAAGGCTATGGAGCTTCGTTAACCAAAAAATGGGTAGGTTGCTCAAAACCGGTTATGAAATAAATTGACAGGTGCATGTCCAAAACGTGTTTGCTAGTTCAACTATTACATGGAATCTTTTTTTCTAGATCTATTGAAACATTATGGTGTGCTATGTCTGCTCAATTTATGTTTGTTTAATTTAATTGAAAGCCGTTTCCCTGAGATTTCTTTGCAGCACAATCCTTACTTCTTTCTCAGTCTCTTCGATATTATTTCCATATTCGATATTATATTATTTATTCTCTTTTTCAATTATTTCCTCTGCAATGAAATAGTGGGAACCGATTTAACAAAACATGAAAATTGCTTTATTGGGTGAAACATGAGTTCTTAAATTGTATATTTCGTTTTCTGCCACGATCCCTATAACACGGATATTTAAAATTACCCTAATTAAACTCAATTAAAATCTGTTCTGGTTGAGGCATGGCAATGAAACTTGATATATGTGTAGGCCATAGAAAATCTACAATTGAAAAATTAGTTCATATTTCAGTTAACAGGTGGAGCTTATTTTGGATGAGAAAGTAGTGACGAACATTGTCACAGTTCTTGGAAGACAAAAATCAGTACTATATTCATAATTCAGAGCAATGTTATTTCAGAAGAAAGAACGAACTTTTTTCTGATCAGAGCCACAGCAATCTGCATATTGTACTTGCATTACCGCTGTCATGTTGTTGCAATAGATCGAGAAACTCAATGCGCTGCTGTTGAAAACTCGATAATTTTGTGTTTTCGCTGGATAAAAATGGAATACGCATTGAGTTTATGCTATGATTAAATAAAGTTTTGCATCTCCAAAGTAGAAAATCTTGGTTGTCTAAATTTGAATTAGTTTCTAATGCATATTGCTTTTCTCCGTAGACTGTATAACGTGTGTATCAAATTTTATTGCCATCCGTCAATTAGAACAGACTCTACATGGATATAAATAAACCCTTAATTACATTTACCCCCCGCCAAGTTTCGTGACTAAACCAAAGTGAACTCGATAATAGTCGAAACAGGATGACATTAATTATAATCACTTTACATTATTAAGATGGAAGGGATTTCAAGAGCTCTTAGAACAAATAAACGTTTCTAATGTGTACCGTTTGTAGACTATAAGAACATTAAAAAAGCCGAGAGATGATCTGCATTTACTTCCTGATATGGAGTAATGATCACATTTGTGCAACTGCAATTGCATCTTAAGAACTGAAATATTTTATAAATTGCTTAAGGAACAAGGTTCATTTCTGATCATCAAATAAACCTTGTTCATTTAAGAATTCATGTTCAGTTAAAAAAAAAACTTGTACATTAAAGAAATGTTTTTTCTTAAATAAAACTAATCAATTAATCATTGTTTACGACTATATAAGCAAGGAAACATTGCTTATTAGAAAAACATAGTTGAGTAAAAAAAATTTACTCAATGAAAAATGTGTCTATTAATGAAAATTTAAGAACGAAACTTGTTCTTTACCGGAAATATTTTTATTGGTGAAACTTTATTCATTCATAAAAAAAACTTATTTATTAAAGGAACCTTGACCATTGAGGAATTTAGGTTTATTAAAAAAATCGTGCTTGCTAATGAAACTTTTTTCGCGAAGTAAATCTTATCATAAAAAGAACCTTGTTTTTTTAGAAAGTCTTGTTCAAATTATATTGCTTAAAAGAATAATCATTGTTAGGATCAAATAATCACATTCTTGTAATATTAAAAGTTGAACCCTATATTAAAAAAAAACCCTTAAATATTCAATTTGAATTTAAAATACATAACTTTAAAGCAATTAAAAAAAATCAATTATTTTTCCCATCAGATTTACAGCTGTTCACACAGAAATATAAAGCAAGATATATATTTTTTTAAGAATAAAAGATAATGCTTGGAGAAACATGCCTTATCTCTTTTATGTGTCTGTCACCACAATTCTTGAAATATTTCAATGACTATGAAGTTGTCTAAAGAATTGAAAGGTCAATACGTGGAAAAAATAGTGCTGAGCTTATACGTCAATCCGGGCTGTTAGCACACACTGCAAACTTAGCTGAAAGCCTATATCTTCAAAAATAAAGAAAACTAATGCACTTTCGGGGGACATTCAAGATGTAACTGAAAGAATAAATTCTTTTAAGCTTACGGTTATTTATGCTGACACTTTATGTCAAATAAAATGATTTTGCTGCATTTTTATACGATTATATACTTAGAACTTGCTTTTCTAAAAGCAAGTAAATATTTCTGCTTTTCTCCTTACTAACCGAATTCATTCGTCTGCAGAAAAATGTAATAATGACAGCACAACACTGCAATTTATTAGAGTATAACATAGTAAATTTTTCTAAAATGTTTAAAAGAATGAGGTTAAGGGATGAATCATCATATTTTAAGATTTGAAAATATACTGGTTGAAAGAAATTAAATACATTTTACTTATTTTCGCATGCTTTGATGACTGTTGTTTTTCACACTGTAAAAGTTCCTGATTAATAAATTAATAAGTTCTGTAAAAAATTGAATTAATGCTTAAAGTACCGGTACTTTGGGTGCTTTCCGTAAAACCCGTTTTTACCGTAAAGTATTATACCATAATGTTAAAATAATATTGATTTGACTAGAATAATTCAGTGATTTTACAGTTTATTATTACTGTAAAAAATTACGGCATATCAGATTTTTTTCTTTCATATCATGACTGGGTAAAAAACTATTTTTGCGGGAACATGTGACTTTATTCGGATTTTACGGTAAAAATTACAGGCAAGTCAGAATTTATTTTTTTTACAGTAATTTTATCCCGGATTTTTTAGAGTGTATATTTCATCGCAGTGCAGAGCATTCTTAGATAGAAATAGAACCTTTCTGGTACATATGCAACACAAACCAACGTTTTGAAAGGCTCCCCTAAATACCTAAAATATCATAAATGTTAATTATTTAACAATATTATTTTATAACTTATACAAGATGGTTCGCAGTGGCCGCTTAAGACAGAATCTTTACTAAGAGTGTATAAACATTTGAAATCGCGAATTAATATCCACGCAACAAAGAAACAATAAAGCTATTGATATTTAATCAATCACTCTTAAGAAAGTAAGAACTGAAATCAACATTATCTGTATCTTTTGCTTGATGAAACTATGTGGTTGTTCCTAATACCTTCTATTTTTAGTCCTGCTTTCCTCGGTACTGATTTGATAGATTTGGCGGAGTTCTTGTTTTTCTGGGCTAAAAAATAAATTTTCAATCCCAATGCGTGCATTTTTTTATTTGACTTTATTTATTTATATATATATATGGGTCATTCTCACAAAAACAGTCATTTTCATGTCCCCAGTATTAGTTGTTGAAAACAAAAC